GTTGTGGCTGCATCACCACCTCAGGTGTGCATTATTTTCTAATAATTCAACGGCCTGTCGTCAAATATTCCTTACAATAATATTATTTATGTAGGATTTTCATATTTTAAGATAATAAAAGAAAGCAAAAATAAAATCCATGTATATAAAAGGCATTTAAAAAGTACAATGAAGACCTCCATATGATTAAAAGAAAAAGTTGAAATCTGTTTTAATAAAATCAACCTATGGGACATAAATGAAGAATTATAATTGAAGAAACTACCACCTACAGGATCCAAACAAAGCTAGGACAAGATTTAGACTAGTAGTAATTCCTTGAGGTAGCCTATTTACAGTAATAAGAATCCTCACAGACAGGCTTCCCAGTGCTCCTTAGCTGTTCAGTGAATTGTTCCCTTCTTAAATGGCTAAAAAAGGTGATCCATTGAGCTTTTGAAGTGAAAACGGGGGTCTTCCCCTCCTCTAGACCAATCCATTCATGTTTTATTAATGTCATATGCTCTTGGGTATGGAATCTTTTTAAAACAACTCACCAGGTCATCCTGTTCATTGTCACAAATCAAATTAGCCCAGCGAGCGATTAATCTTCCTGTCGAACCGACTCTGAAAGGGCCCTGACACCTTACTCATTTTCTTAATTAGATCTCTTATTAGGTGCCGCAGTCGTCCACGTTAATTACAGCTTTCTTTGACTCTTGCACTTTCGAGTTGGCTATGCAAACTATTTGTAGAAAGTAAAGGCAACAATGTAAGGTGATTAGAAGCAATGAATTGGATTCATGTTTGAAAGCACAGGGTGGAGGTGAGGCGATGTGTTAGGTGGGGCATTAGTTCTGGACATTGTGGGGATTGCTATTTAACTTCATGCTGAACAAATATAAAAATGCAAAATATGTGGACAAACACACTGTTATTAAGCCCTATCACACAAAAGAGTGCTGTAAGATATTTGAGCAAAAGACAACAGCACGATTGCGAGTGTGATTTACTTACTCAAGTTAGTCGCCATACTGAATTTAACGCTGATGAAAATGAGAATGTGAGGGATAGACTTACAGCAGAGGTATCAAACTCAATTCCTGGAGGGCTGGAGCCCTGCAGAGTTTTGTTCCAACACACATACCATGTAGCTTTCAAATAATCCTGAAGGACTTGATTAGTTGGATCAGGTGTGTTTAATTAGGGTTGAATCTAAACTCTGCAGGGCTCCAGCCTTCCAGGAATTGAGTTTGATACCCCTGACTTACAGTATTTACAATAGCACATACTAAAGGTTCTAACAAATCAGCTAAATTTCACAACTCACATCTTTCAAATCTGTTTTATGGAGTTTTTGTCTACTGAAAGTCAGCATAACAATCGATATGTTTCTTAAACAAAAGCACAATCCACTGAACGCACTGTAGCCTACTTCTATCCCTCACAGCCTTATTTTCATTCATTTCAAAAAGTAAATATGGCGCTACCCTGACTAAGCTCTATTGCTTAGGCTACAACAGTTCCACAAGTTAATATCGAGTAATTCACATTTTAGATACAAATTTGCCAGTTACCTTGTCTGTTTCCGCTCTGCAGAGGAAAGCCACAGCAGGTGGTGTTCTGTTCTTGAACTAATCAGCGTTTTCGGATCACTTGAATGAATGAGGCAGTGATTCACTCATAAGGACAATCACGTGTCGCCACCTACTGGAGTATCGAGGTAACCTTGAGAAAGAGTCATTGAAAAATCCCCACCACTAATGCACAGACTGACAGTCTGTCTGAAATTCAAAGACACAGACAAGCAGAGTGATATGAACAGTGAAAATCCCAGAGCTGTTATCAAAACAAACCGCTGACGCTGATTTATCTCTCCAGAGCTTGAGAGTGTCCTTCAAACCAGTTCATTGTGAATCTGAAGCTAAATTTAGAAACACACTGTGCTATTTAGTTATGATTAAAGGAACATCCTTGATCCAGCAATCACCCCCAGAGGAATGAACCTTTCCTTGTGTCACACTAGCGTGTTACTGAGTGTCTCACACTCACAAATACAACATATAAATAAATAAAACACTCATTAAACATTATGAATGACATTTCTACAGAACATTTATTAGTTTGCAGTTACAAATGCAGTGAAAAAAAAAACCAAAAAAAAAAATTACAGCTTACTACAGGAAGCAGCATTTACTGTAAATGGGTCAGTCAGTGCGGTTTGACGAGAAAGCCTCTCTTCATAGAATGGGAATCAATTGCCCATTGCCTAGAGCATGAGCACTTTCTACCGTTGAATTGAATAGCTGAGCAAAACGGGTGGAAAAAGGGCCAGTAAAAGAATCAGCAAGTAAACAAGAGTTGTGCTTGAAGCCTGGAGTTTCTTTACTTGCTGTAGTGAAGTCTTTGGCCTGCTGTCAGGAGTGAATCTGATGACCCAGCAGGAGTGCAGTGTTGACCTGCATTTTATTGATCTTCTGGTCTTGCAAAGTGGGATTGTACGGTGATGTAGAGCAGGGTTATTGACATGTTCATCACTTTACACATACAGAAATTTGCTGATTCATCTTCAGCATATAGTTTGTATTAAAAATGACACGCTTGAAGGGTTTGGCTCCTTTGTTTGCTGGGCACCTGCTACAGATATCTGCATGCACAGCACTACAATTGTCCACCGAGACTGTCCACCTGCAAGAAGCCATTTTCATTTCTATCTATGAATCAGTACAGTTATATGTACACGTATATCTATATAGCACTTTGCACTTACAGCATTTTCAAAATACTTCATAATACAAAAATTATGTTAATACTAAATTATTCAAATGATACTTTCAAAATACTAAAATCATATTTGAATCATATTTTTGTAGGCTATGTAACATTTAGCTTCTAGGTGTTGATGAAATATTCCATATTAATTCTTGATTTGGAAAAAGACTACAAAAACCAATGTTCAATTCAAGTTTATTCAATTCAAGTTTATTTGTATAACGCTTTTCACGATACAAATCGTTGCAAAGCAACTTTACAGCAAATTAAGTTTCTACAATATTTAGTGGTAGCTTATCAGTGGTGACTGTCAGTCAATGTACATATGGCAGAAATGTACGGAAAAATCAATTAACCCTGTAAGACCCAAATTTAGAAAAAAAACGGTGAAAAAATTATTTCACCATTTATATGTTGTTGTGGGAGGCCTCTTTAATATTACAACAGTGGGCCTTACAGGGTTAAAGACGTAATCAAACAGACGATGAACACTATTAACAGCAATTATTATATGATGCAATCAAACTTATAGCAAAATGCAGGCAAAATAAACAAGTGTATGAATAAATAAATAAACAAGAGAATTAGCTAAGAAAGAGTTTTTGTATGTGTATTAAACCCATCAAGGGCCAGAGAAACAGTTTTTTTTTTCTGAGAAAAACATCAAGAAGTTTTTTTTTTTCTGTGCTTGTTGAGGAGAGGAAGCAAACAAAAGCAAACTTTTTCCTGTATTTTTTCCTGTATATATTCACAAATATAGAATTTCTGTGCAATGTTTCATTGTTGAAGACATGTTCTTCTTCCCTATTTTTCTACCCTATTTGCAAAAATAAGGGAGAAAATATTGGAGGCATCTTTCCTCTTTGAGAGGAAAACTTTGCAAGACATGATTCTACAACAGTTAGTTCTGATTCTCCAATCTGATTTCAGACAGTCATTCTGGTGATGATTTTTCAGTGATTCTTTCTGCAGGTTACATTGTTATGCCAGTAGGTGGCAGCAACCAATTTGTTTGAAAACATTGATTCATTCAGGAACAAAACAAGTTACTGTATTTATAGGTGAGGCACTGAATAACTCACTCAAAGGATTCAATCGAAACCCTGATTAATTCAGGAATGATACAAGCAACTGTTTTATGAGTGCGTCATTTAATGATTCACTCAAGTAATGCATTCAAAACCACTGATTCATTCAGGAACAACACTACTGTGCGTTGCCTGGAGACGTGTAACTGTCCTGCTGTGGCTTTGTTTTTGGAACTGTTTTGATTTCTATAATTATTTTAGCAGACCAAAAAATGGTCTGAATTCTAGAAACCTGTTTAAAACATCAATGTTCCCCACATCCATGGATGACATAAAATGTCAGCAGCAACAACGTGTGTAATTAAATGGATAAAACATGCTAATCAGCAGAGAACAGCATTACTAACAGAGACATAAAAGTAGACACAGTGTATAGAAAACCATTTTAATATTGATTTAATTCTGATAAGGTTGCATGTTTATCTACCAGAGCTACTGTAGTTGCATGTCTACTGATGCCAGTAAAGAGAAATGAAGCCCGCTTTTTGCCAACCCTTTGAAACTTTATTACACAGAAAACTAATCTCTTGAAAATGAGATCTCGTCTTCCCTACGACACTGATCCTATCAAACTAGGGCTTCATTTTTCTGAACTGAGTCAGGTTTCTGTCCAGTGACACAGATCCAGTGTTTGCTTATCATGGTTATCACCTTTAACAAAATGAATGTCTTGTATTTATGAAACCTACACAAGCATGATGAAGCCTATCTATTCTCAGAACAGCATAGAACAAACTTAATCATGGACTGATCTGGCTATAGGTAAATATCAATGGTAATCTGAGTAACAATAGGTGATTGTGGTCTCTTTTGTTGGACTGATAGACTGATATCCCTGCGAAATTACTAAGAATGAGTTGCGTCCACCGACAGAGGCAAATAATTACATTGTTTGCTGTGTTGAAGTGCCTGATTCAGAATAATGCAAATCGGATAACAAAACAAAAGCACCAGCAAATTCTGTGCATGGCACAGTTCTCAAACTTGCTGGTTGCTTCTGTGTACTACAGTAGTTTGTGGAGGATTCTTTGGATACACTACCAAAATTTGACGTACTTTACTGGGACAGTACAGCACCAAGTGTAGTTGACTACTCCACACATCTGCTCTTCGCCAATATTTGCTCATTATGTGTTGAATTACTTTTGCTGTGATCAGTAGAAAATGTACATAAAGTCATTTGCCATCTGATTTCCAACGGTGGTAGCACTAGAGTAGCAGTACAGTTTTGTGAATAAGCCGCAATCTATAATAAGCCTAATTTGCATGGAAACTTGTTTGAAATGAATGGCAATGACTTAAATACTTACAGCTCAGGAATATTTTAGCACTAAAAAAATAGGTTTGCGCTGAAATATTGTGTACAAAAATGTAATTGCAACTGTTTAGTGAATTTTCCTCTTTTTTTCATAATGGATCCAATGGAACAGATTCTCATTCAAGCAAAATATGCCGGATTTCCATTACATCAAGAGAATATGTATTAAATTAGGGATGAATTGTACTTCTTGTTCAAAGAACCAAAACTATGAATACAGTCTTAATTCAAACCCACTGAACAGGTTTTAGGGCATGATAGATCTTCATATTTCACAGACAGCCTTAAATTAGGGATGAATTGTACTTCTTGTTCAAGGAACCAAAACTATGAATACAGTCTTAATTCAAACCCACTGAACAGGTTTTAGGGCATGATAGATCTTCATATGATGTCTTTTAATATGTATCTATATGTATATATACAGAAATATATACAGTTACTTTCAATACAAAGCTCCCACAAAATACATTGAGCATGCTGACAAATAAAAATATATCTGGCCCAAGTAGACAGTGAGGTGACCTTTGACTTGGGGGAATTCCAAACGGACAGCATGTGGGACACTAGCGGTGAGCGGTAAACTCAGAAGTGAAAGGGAAATAGCAGGGCTTCACGAGCTCCTAGTCTGTTACCAAAGCCGGCGTGGACGTGGAACGACAAACTGATGCTGGAATGGAAAAAAAAATCTCCTATTGATTTCCACCTCATTTTCACAGACCAGTGCTTATCCGTCATGAGCCTTCATACAGTCATTCACAGCTTAAATCAGGATTGTCCAGTTTACCTAGGGAGGCAAAGTCTTCAAATAGGCTCCCCTAAGCTGTAGGAGTTTAGAACCAGAGGAAGATGGTCAGGAGAAACGCAGAAAATCAAGAGAATTGGACACGGTCGAGTCTGCAGCGTTGGGCTCATTGATCAAAAACACAGATTAGCCTGCTTTATTTCTATTTGTCATATTCCTTGGAACTGAATGAGCAAATCTCATCTTTATCCCCAAGAATGTCCTTCTTTATTGTTCAGTCACAGGTAATCCAGTCAAACACACCTTTGAATGAATGGTTTCGTCCATTCTGACAGAAAGAATCCACATTCACTGCCTGTGAAAGAGCTCTTTGTTAGGTCCGGGGATGAATCTGAAAACAGACAAAAAGGGAGAGAAAACACACATGCATGCTTAGAACAAAGGTGAAATGCTTGTGAAGAACGATTACCAGATTCTATATTTTCAAATCAGCAAAGAAATCTCCTTTGAGTTGTGGAGCTATTGTCTGTTTATAAATGATTGTAATTTGTCTACTATAACACATCTATACTGGTAACGGAGCGATTGGCACAGTGTGAGTCAATGTCTATGTGTTCAGTTGCCCATCTGCCATCTTCAATCTCTGTATGTTCCCTGTTTACACTGCACAGTGAAAAGAGCTCAGCAGCATTGCCAAGAGGGAAATAAGATTCTTTTGTTCCTCTTTGTTTCTCTATCCCTCGTTTTCTCTCTTTGTGTATTTAGTCTGTCTGGTGAGTGTGTCTTGCTCTCAATGCTACATTGTGCTTCACTCAGGCCGTTATTAACGATCTGTCTTCTCCCTCCTCAGACTGAAGGAAATGCACGATAACAGCCACAGTCAGTAACGATTAGCCAATCTTATGTCAGCGCAAATCGTCTTTTGATGTGCTTCCAGAAAGCTTGTCACTGAACGGACATAGCAGTCCTCACACAATGAATGTTTAATGTCAATCTCAAACACGCCACATATATTATGACACCACTGCTGAGTTATTATGCCATCCATTTAACTGTTCGCATATCTACTGTATCTTCTGTATGTCTGTCTATCTGTCTAGACAGACAGATAGGTAGATCTCTGTCTCTAGATGAGTAGGTAGAACGATAGACAGACAAACAGAGATATAGATAGATAGATGATAGACATCAGAAATAAATCTACAGTATCATCTATCTATCTATCTATCTATCTATCTATCTATCTATCTATCTATCTATCTATCTGTCTGTCTGTCTGTCTATCTATCTATCTATCTATGATAGCTAGATAGATATGCCTGTCTGTCCATGTATCTCTCTGTCAGTCTAAAGAAGTACTTTTTCACATACAATATTTCCAAAATCGCCCAATCACTAATCCATCAATCAATCTATCCCACTCAGAGCTAGGTGGCGTTTTTATAATAAAGTTGTGATGTCAGTAGTGCAATGAAGCTAATTAAATGCTCAAGCCTGTGGCTTCGCCCTCAGCGCATAAAGCATATGCTGACATTTCCCCATCTAGATGTGAAGGAAGGCAGCCAGGTGTGAGCTACAGATTGAGAGAGAGACATAGACAGAGACAGAGAGAGTGACTGGGGACAGAAATTAGAAGCACCCCTTGGGGCCCCCTATAACCCGACAGAGAGACAGCTATCATGCGGCAGATTTACGCTCCACGTGCTCCCATCATCCTGGGCAAGGCACGACAGAGGAGGAGGAGCTGTCCATCATAACGGATCTCCTCTGGAAAGGGACCAGTTCATGCCAATCAAAAGAGGTTAGCCAGCCAATGGCAAACAAACACAGCACCCTGGCTAACATCAGAAAATTTCCTGCACTATTGTGGCACTGCACCAATACTAACATGAGACAAAGGGAAAAAAGCTGCTTCTTTGACAAAAGATGCAAAAATCTCTTTGTTTAAAATAATCAGATTTGCTGGACTTAAATGCTTATTTTATATACATGTAAAAACGTTAACTGACAGTTCTGTGACAGATTTTTATTTTTTTGTGCTAAGCATTTAGTTTGTCATAAGCCAAATGTTCCTTGTCTTTCCTCTCCAAATAAGCACTTTTGCATGCTGTGCATATACTTCCAACCCCCACATACTACGCAAGAAGCAGTATAGTGACCCTGATGCAATTTGTCTTCGGCTGTCTGCTAGTATGTATGGATCTGTCGCTCCCAGTATGGTTTGTTATATTGGACTCTATGTAAATGCTGCCATATTTCCTCCATCTCTGCTCAGGTGTCCTCTACTGTCTGCTACTGCTTCTGTTGATTGGCTGGATCCAGGGTTATAAGTCACATAACAAGACATTTGTTGTACACCATTTGCATTTTAATTCTCAAATGATATCTCAATTTTGTTGTGCATGCTCCATGCGCTAACTATGCAGCTGTTGAATGTGACTTAGCATACAGCAAGACTCCAGACAGCATGAATGTGTTAGAATTAATTTAATGTGACATTGACAGCTGAAAGGGATACAGATACAGTCAAGGCTCTTGGTTTAACAGGACTCTTGGGACAAACTGACTTAATCATCATGTGATTTAATCTTAAACCATCACTTGGCAGATTACTTTTGCTCTGAAAATCCACACAGATGGGATTCTTTAAACAGCACAGGTATCTTGTAAAAAAGCCTCCTGTTAAGAACATGTGTTTCAAAGACATACTTGAGGAAACAGCAAGCCAGTAAAAGTGTCTATTTGTGGAACATGCAGGAAAAAATATCTGGACAAATTGGTTGGATTTGAGTACTCACACCCCTTATCCCAATGTGATCTCATTAAAGTGTAGTTCTAGGACATGTACATTGTATATTGAAACTGAAATGTACAATATTAACATATTGACAGCATCTAAATTGTATGCATGTCACATATAAACAACGTTTCTGAACCCTTTTAGCTTAATATAATATTGAATTAATGGAATTATTAGGTTGATCAAATTGTATTTAACTGATGAGATTTATGAAACATGTTCAATGCCATCACATTTACGATATTTAATGCATTTATCTCAACAAAGTATTTCACCAAAGAATGACAAATGCACCATACAATAATAGATGTAATCCATTCTATTTATACAATACATTAAAGTCACCATGAACCATATGATAGGTTTGTGTGAGAAAAAGGCCTCTATTTAACTAATAGACAATTGGCCCCATCCACTGTGACTTTGTATCACTGAAATGTTTAAGCGTTACAATGTTTGGTCTTGCATGTCTTTTAACCAGTTGCTTCATGAAAAATAAGACTTAAAAATATCAATATAATAGTATTATAATAGTGTCATTGTACATTTATCCGCCTATTACTTTTTTTACACAGTAGAAAAGTGGTTAATTGTGGGTTTATGGGCTCAAAAATGTCTACAACTGTAAAATGTAACTATACAGATATATGTATAATATAAATATAATATAAAGGAATCATATATTTATGTTTCTAAATCTCTGCATAAGTAAATCGATTTTAGATACCGTCAATATGTCCATGTTGTACACTTCACCATCTATCTAAATGTATGTATAGATACCTATGAATATTAATAAGATCAGGATTCTTATCCACGGAAATTGTTCTGGTCTCTGACGTTCGAGACCAGCTGGATTTAGGGGCCAGTCCTGAGGTGATTTATCCAGCCTGGAGAAAAAGGCTCACAGCTGTGCAATAGCTACAGGTTGAGTCCATCTCTCTTCTCAAATGAGGCAGGGAAGATACATAAACTGGGGGAAGATGTAAACCTTGTCTTTTTGTTTACACAGTGATTTTGGTTGTATTTTAAGGAACTGAATGATATAGCCATTAGGAACAGGTAAAAGTAGGTCTATGTAGGGCGAGGGTGAGGGTGTCTCTTAGCCTCTCTCACTGAGTGCCTTCCTCAAAAGAGGCCTGCCTTGTCTGGAGCTACAGGCAAGGAGGGGTCCCTCTCTGTAAGACATAAAGAAAAAAAGAGAAAAAAGGGTGTCAGGCACACGCTTTGGCTTTTTCTTACTCACATGCCAATTTGAAAAAACGAGAATGGACGCCACACCAGCGTTTGTGAGTAAACAAGCTTGTGTGTGTAAGCGTGAGTGCTTAAACCGTAGTTTTCAGAGCAAAAAAATATAAAATACTGCAAGTGATGGTTTTAGCATTTAGCTTTCTTTTTGTTTGCTTTGATCATAGACAAACGTGCCTAGATTGCCTTGAAAGGACTGGGAGGGAGTGTGGGGTCGGGATGGGGGATGAAGGTGACCGAGCCAGCAAGATGGTCAAAGGTGTTTATAGAAAGCCAGCGCTGGACTCAAATAGATACCAACTCTCCAGTGGGGCAGATCAGACACTCCAGGCTAGGAGGTCACACACTACTCAAACAGGACGTGCACACCTACACACACTTAAACAAATACACCCTGGGATAATGTCGGGGAACCCACAAACATACATTGCAACCAAATCCTCACTATGCCTAGGAGCTTACAAAATGGGAGAAAATGGAAGCAAACGACAAGGCAAAATAATGATTTCTGTATTATGCACTTATTACCGACTACACGGTCACGCTTGAGCCCTTTTCGCCGTGTGTGTGTTTGCATGCTCATTAATTTGAGTCTGTCCCTGGGTGTGTGTGACTGCGTGCTTGCATGCACGCAATTATGCTGCATTAGGACAATGGCACAGTAGTTTTTGGAGTGTGTGACTGCACACGACAAAGACGGTTTGCTTGTGCATCTGTTACTTCATCGGTTTGTATTCGGTAATTACTGCGCCACGTTCACATTTTTCATTATGTTCATGTGTGCACACGCTTATAAATTACGCTGACGGGAGTATAGACACTGGAGGAGGAATATATTTGTGGCTTTTTAATCATCCGCAGCATATAAACACGCTCACAAACACACACACTGACTCAGCAATAATTATGCTTGGGAGTGTAATGATTTTGATTTGCAGTGATTAAAATGTGCAAGTCTAATCATATGGCTCAAGATGTTTAAAAAAAAAATGGAAACGCCAACCTTGATGAGGAGAAGGATGCCACTGAGCTTCTGGCGAGCCAGCTTTGGTGGCCCTCAGAGCTAAAAAGTTGAATATGGCTGGGTGTTCTGGGAAGGAAGATATGAAGGGAAAAAAGAGGAAGTTTAATAGTTAATAATAGCAGGTTTTTATTTCCCAATTACCTTTAAATATGGTTGTTTCTTTACAGTCCTTTTCTTTTGTTTAATCTCAATTGGAGGTTAAAGAATAATTCACCTTAAAATTTCAATTACTCTACTTTATGTCGCCCCAAACCATTTTTTTTTTACATGGAACTCAAAAGTAGAAATCTTTGAAGAACTGCTACACAATTATTGCCAAACAATGAGAGTGCATAGTAATCTACTGTAAATAAGAACAAAAACGTTGTAGTCAATGATTTTTATGCTATATTTCATATAAAATGTATGCTTTTGTGAGGTAAAGACTGAACGTTTAGTAAGCATTAATTTAGATTAGTCATTGCCTTTGTCTTCAAACATCCAAATTGCAAAATGGTGGATCAGATGCTTCAGCACTGGTTCTTGTGTTTGTAGTAACCAAACATGACATTTCATTTTTGAATTTAAACAAAAATGAATGCAAACTTGGGCTAGACGTGAGCTTTAGGGCAGGATTATCAGTGAATATTGAGTCTTGAATTTAGGAATAATCAGTAAATAAAATCTGATTACCTGTTCCTCAGAAATCTAGCATATAATAGCACATTATGGTTCTGTTTTTCTTTTCTTTTCTTTCTTTTCTTTTTTCTTTTTTTGGAGCTTGAAAGCTCCTAGTCTTGACATTGTTGTAAGGAAAGAGCATAAAATGACATATTAGTTTGGAACGACATAAGTGTGCGTAAATAATGACAACATTTTCATTTTTGCATAAACTTTGCTTTTAAGCTTGACACAAGTGCGCACATTATTTTATGAATTCTCTTTAAAGTTATATCACACTAATAAAGCAAGCGATGCTTTCTCTGGTTCATTAGGTTTGTATGCATGATCTTACCTTGGAAATTTCGAAAATCATCCAGCCACCATCGGATAAGCAGGGCTTGGGATAGTTTAAACACGTGCAGATGCCAAGGAGGGACCAAACCCCCTGTAACACTATCTACTTGTGTTCACTGTCACATGACTCTCACAGATCCGCTGTCTGTCACCTCTCTACTGAATCAGCGTATGGGAATACTGATCTGCTCATCAAGTTTTAATATTGTGTCATCTGTACTTCCTGTCAGAGCTGTGATGTTTAGTTTATATCTGTCTGACTTGTGTCTTGATGTCCTGAACTTATTTAGTTTCTTATTTCTTAAGTTGAACTCAGCACGGCATCCTTTATAACGCTGCATTAGGACTAAATGAAGAAGATGTGTTCTCTGAGCACGAGCTACTGCCACATCATATCATGAGGAATAAATAGGTTAGTGAGGTCCAGAGTTACATGTGTCCCTTGGTCTTTATTGTCACTGAATCATTTAACCGGTAAAGCTTGTTTTCAGAATATACAGGAAATTATATTTATTTTTTTCTGGAAAAATGTGTATATGTGTGTGTTTGTGTGTGAAGTGATGTTCAGCATGTTCCGAGCCCTCACCCTCGTGGTCTTGATCTTGTTCCCAGAGGAACACATCCAGCCAGAGTTGTCTGGTAGTGTCTTACACTCCTCTCCCTCCAGACACGGCTCCATCTCACACCACCACTTCCCAATCACGATGGAGGCTGATGGAGACACACACACAAACAAGAAAAAAGAGTTTCAAACACGTGGATAAATTAAGTACAGCAGGGTTTACAATACTCCCATAGTGCATGATTGCAGAAAAAAAGTTTTTTATTGAACTTTGATGGAGCAAATAAGTCATAAAAGTTTGTTTTGTTTAAAAATCGTATAAATGTATGAGGAGGCAAGGGGTATATAAATACTTTAGCTAAAATAATATGTTTTGCGTAAATCTAAATGAATCACTTTAGCAAGTCTGTACTGTTTTCTTTTTATTTTGATAAATAATTTATTTTTGTTTGTTTAATAAGTATGCTGTCATAAAAATGCTAATAAAAAGATACAGAAAAATATAAAAAAAAAAATATTCTGAAAGCTTTGAAGGAGATCCCATAATAATGTATTATGTCTTTACAGTAGTAAAAATTAATATATTTTATTATATTCTATAATTAATATTGGATTTTTAAATATGATGGTTTCATTATAAATGATGATTATCTCTAAGGTAGACACTCAATAAAATGATGTTAACTCTGACTCTGAATCTAACCATGTCATGTCAATAAATGAAAAAGTCAGCCAGCTACTTATTATCATGTTATAAGTTATTGTACTTTTTATTACCTTGAACAACACTGAAAATCATAAGAGACATAAAAACATTAAATGTTAAACAAATTCTATCCATTCCAAAATACATTTTTCATTGCTGCCTGCGATTGTGTCAAGAATCAGTAACATTTCCGTGCTCATAGTGAAATATTGATGTTTAGGAAAGTGCTGTGGTAAGTTTTTGTGCAATCTAGTGATTTAGAGAAGAATAAAATCAAATGCTCCTTTTACCCTGGTGCGCCTTTTGCCCCACTGTACCCTATAACTGACTTATTAAATTAATCTTAAGCAATATGACAATTCTTGGCTTTTCGCACTTTAAACCACTAACCAGGGCTATTCTAAACACTGTAATCATGGGTTATCTTGTCTCACGCTATTAATAATTTATCATGAGTTAGAAATTAATCCTGGACATTCAGGTTTCAAGATTTCACACTGTACTTTTGTAAACATTGGGTTACCATTCTTATTTGCATATTTATGAGGTCAATAACATTGACTACATTTGCAACAGGTACGTGACCGGCTTTAATTTGACTGTCCGTCTGTGGAAATGTCACCATGTAAATCAATATGCCTGTTTTGGGTTACCTGATGAAGCATGTGAAGGTTTCTGTGACTGAACAAAGCTCATGAATATTTAACAAGGCAAGCACTGTTTAGTTTATGATTGATTGTATGTTGTATGTAGCACTGTATGACACACTGCACACTTTTGGCAAGGTAATTCAGTGTTAGCACTGCAAAATCTACAGCAGGGTATCATAAACTAGGGTGATGGGTAAGTATTTAGCCCAGGAATTAAAAATGTGGTAACCCAGGTAGATGTGCAATGTGAAAAGCCTCATATTTTAAGGTGATATTACATCGAAATTAAAAAAAGGCATTCAGTATATTTTGACATAAATATTTACTGAATAACATTTGCTGAAGAGGTCTTCTCAAGCTAAAAACAAAACATGAAAAAAACCCCCCACTTCTAATCAGCAAAGGTTTTGAGTATGTAATTTGTGTGTGTACGTGTCAGGGTGCATTCACTGCTACAAACTACAGAGGGAGGAGGAAGAGAGGAAGAAACGTGGCGATGACAGAAATGGAGGCTGCCTCGAGTCACTGTGTTTTCCCTCGACGAAACGAGCTCTTGAAATGTTTTCCACAGTTTCAGCACAAGCTTCTGTTTCAGTTTCAAGCCAACAGACTAACATCACAGTGGGAAATAATTTCAATTACCATAGTTTTGAAATAAAACACAGTGTAAAGATATGAGAGGTGTTTTTTTAAACCAAGAGTTGAATGAAATTAATGAATGTAAACATTACTTTTGTTGCACTGGACATGCAAATATGTACAGTAAAGGTTTCATTCCTCCAGACACTGACAGTGCTCTAGCTGCTGGTGTACTTGTTTAGCTATTGATTTGGAATAATGAAATTAAGTCCATCTATGTCAAATTCAGTGTATATTTCAGCTCACACTGCTCATGTTTTTTATTTTATTATTATTATTTTATGTTCATAAGGTAAAGGCTTCCAAACAAAAAATTTGAAATGTTCCATTCCTTACATAAATCTTTTCAAAATGAAAATTGTCATCATTTACCCTCATGCTATTCAAAACCTGACTTACTTTATTCTGCTACTTTCTTTCTTCTACAGACACATTTCTCAAAATATCTTCCTTTTAATTTCACAGAAGAAAGTAAGTCACACAGGTTTGCAACACAATGAGGTTAATGACAGAAGTATCGTTTTTGGGTGAACTATCCCTTTAAGTCCGTCTACCAACAACAAACCCTCTTTTCTACTGTTCTAGTTCTGGCTGCAGAGAAGAGGATTTTCTGAGGTAAATTGTTTGGGATTTGAAGGTTAAAAGTCCAACTTAGATTTCATTCTTCTGTACACTATCTTTGCTGTCTGTCACCAAGGTTAAAAGGTAAAAATTAATCAATATAAAGTCTTAGCGCAATCCTCGCTCACTACCGAGCTAAATCCAAGCAGAGGCTGACTCCTTTCTCCTCACAAACACACTCTTAGCTCACTGCTTTACATCCATTCGATTTTAACAGCGGATTTTCAGTCTTTGTGAAATCCTCATTCTACTTTTCTCTGAGAAAGCCAGAAACACAGCTTGCACTTTTGGTATAGGTGTGCAAGTGAGAAAGCCTGGTTTAAGTCCAAGTTCAAATAACTTGATACAAATATATAAAAGTAATCTTCATGTTGTTTGTGAAAAAAAACAAACAAAAAAAAACAAATCTGAATGTTCACTATTTTCTGTTGATTTTAACAAAAAAACAACTAGGCTTTCAATTTCTGTTAATTTTAAAATGAAATTTAAACAACAAATGTTGTTTTGACACTCTAATGTGGTGTGACAGGTCGTCCAAACAGCAGCACGGTGCACGAGCGAATCAATAATCTCTTTCTCTCTACTACTAGTTATAACACAAAATAAAATGAGGGTCTACTGACATGTCTCGTCTCTCATGTAATCACCCAATTCGTGTTTAAACCACATAATGATGCCAATAAAACACCTTGTGAACAATATCACCTGACATTAAATTTACCTGTTAAATAAATCGAATAAAAAATACCATGCAGTATAACTAAAACAATAAACATTTTGTCAAATATATACATTATTATTATATTTTTACTTAATTACTCACTGTATGTTTGAATAAATATCATATCTGTCAAAAATGTTTGGAACTTTTGAATTCAGTGCTTATGTGTTTCTGGCTCAAAATGACAAAGCAGGTCACATATTTATTTACCTAAAGCTTTTCTTTCCCTCAAATTACACCACTTTATCTTCCTATATCTAAATCACTATAATACCTGTTTCCTTAGTTGGTCGACATCCATGGCACCCATTGAAGCTCCACTGTAGGTCAGAAAGCATTCACACAGATTACCATTTGACTAATACGCCACCTGCAGCCTAATAGTCTCAACAGATACCCAAACCCTGACAGCGTTATCTGTCCCATACTTCTTCACTCTCATGTGCGGTGCACACACTAGCCCAAGGTTCATTAAACACTAAACTCCCTCTGGTCTGAACAGGATGGAGAGTGATTACCACAGACTCTTCCTGTTCCTTTACCTGCCACTTTTCTGTACAGCTCAGTTTTACTGTGTACCATCTTAATCACAAAGCAATTAGCGGTCAGCAGGGGTGTATCCACATTCTTTCTAGGTTAAAGATACACTACGATTGTGTTGTTGTGCAGGACAGACACCTGCAGTTATTCATCCACAGATGAGATATTAGTTTTGTTATTATAGTCCGTCTTCAAAATACATGGAATATTTCACAGAAAAACAAATGGAAACAACCATCTGAGTGGTCAGACTTGTTAAAAATGTTGTAGCAAATTAGCTCAAAAGGGAAACGTATTTAAATAATTGCAATGAATTATACTTAATTAAACATATTTATATCAGCTGCCAGAAGGAACTGTAGCAGGATTAATATTACAATCAACTAATCTGTTCATCCAGCAAACATTCAGTGTAATTCCATATCAACTCTAAGAAGTGATATTTTCAAGGCCACAGAAAATAACTTTCTTTCAGTACTTAGCGCATGTAGCAAGATCGGCTCGTTAAATTGACTTAGTTTACAAGCAGTGATCTTATCTGACTAAGCTGTCCTTGCTGCCATCGTAACCAGTGGCCTGGGGGTTGTTCACAGACATCCCGGTACCCAATCCAGTTGTTGGGTGAGGGATCTGTTGGATTATCTGTTAAATATAACAAATAATAATGTGTCTGATTTGTCCAGTCGTTACATTGTGAAAAATAAATGCGCAGAATAACTTCACGATTGAATTCAGTTAGTTTCTTCATCACGGATTTTTAGTTTGTTCACAGTCAGTTTTCTTTTTCTAGTTTTCCCACCAGTCATCAGTTACCATGGCCATTCATTCAAGAGCACACCTGTATTTAGTTCATCTAGTCGATTGGTGGATGAGTCACAGTTGTATCCAGCATCCCTGTATACCAAAGAGTTACAGCGAATGGCTACTTCTATTTTAAATGATGACTCCCACCATTTGCACAGTGAGTTTCAGCTTCTTTCCCCTGGATGGAGGTTTCTAGTCCCAAGGTGTAAGACAAAGCGGTATAAAAACAGCTTTGTTCCCGCTGTTTTAACTGTGTTAAATAAGCTGTATGATGGTGGAGTTTTGAGCACTTGTATCATGTATCATGTTGTTATTGTGATTTTATTGTGTTTATATTATGTTTTTAAATGTGTTTTGAAATTGCGTGTCAAGGATGGATGTCACTGTCATTTTACTGCAAAACAAATTTACCTGCGGTTTTAAAGGGGTCATATGATGCGATTTCAAGTTTTCCTTTCTCTTTCCTAA